GCCCACGCGGTGGCGCAGCGCTTTCCGGAGCCCCTGCGCCCTGGCTCTGGTAAGCGCTACCTGAGCTGGTCGTACTAATCCCCATGCAGGACCCCGTACCCCCCGGAGGCTGATTAAGTGAGTCCCGGGAGGCGTACCTCCGGGTGGTTGTGGGGAGCCGCCAGGTGGAGACCCCCTGTGAGCTAATCTGACCTGCTGGCGTTCAGCCCAGCCACCCCAAGGGACAAGCTTATCTGGGTGTGCACCTAGTCGGAGGAATGAGCCCCGGGGCCCCTTGCAGAGAGAGCTGCGAGAGGTCCCGCTGAGTTTCGAGTTGAAAACGTGATTCTGTGAGGGACATGGGCGGAGTCCGGACCGCACCTTCTCACGCGTGTCTTCAGGTCCTCCTGGACCCGTGACGGCGCGGGAGAGGGGAGCTCAGACACGTCAGCTCAAGGCCAAGGCGGTGCCTGACACAAGAGTGAGCTAGATGCTGGTTTAGAAATTCTGGAAGAAGAAAATGGTTTGACAAAACCATGTTTTGTTCCCTGGTAAGGAAGAAGCAGTACTCTCACTTGATTGCAGTTTTTAAAAAATCTTATGGAAATCACTTTTCCTACTCAAAATATTTTGTAACTTAATAACTCCAGTAATGTTTCTCTATTTTTGCCCAGCGCTGTGCAGAATCCTTAAATAACAATTGCAGTAACTTTCACCACAGCTATAAATATTTGGTTATCTTAGTATCCTGGGCAAGGATCAACGGCAAATGTTGGGAACAACAGGTGTGTGCTTTCTATAAGAATTACAGATACATTCTAGTTTGGTATTTGTGTTTGTTACAAGCTTCATGAATTTATAATAAATGTGCAGTGCAGAGTCTTTAAGTATTATATTCCTTTGTATTGAGGGCTTACTCTGTGCCAAGCACTTGGAATACATGATCTCACATTCAGAACACCACTGCTTCACAAGGATGCAGACTTTGGGTCAGTTAGAAAAAGACGCCCCTCCTCTCAGCCTAACCCCAGGCCCCAGCTTTAGTCGTTTTCAGACCTTCAGCCGGGTTCCCTCAGGCTATAGTGAAAACGCACCAAAGTGGAGGAAGAGAAGAAATGTGCCTGGTCGGTATTACTCTCCTTTTCAGGGAGGAGTCGAGGTGCACAGAAGTCATATGACCGTATTCAGTCAAAGCAAAGCCTCTTTCTGCCGCCCCAAGAGGCCAAAGGTTTTTTTTTTTCTTTATTTTGGACAGCACCTTTCAACATATTTGGGAAAAGGAACTTAGAATTATTATTGGTATTATTGTTGTTATTATTTTAGCTTTCAGGAGTACTGATTTTCTTATCTCTAAAATGTGAATGTTAGACTAGATTACCTTTGAGGTCCCACCTAGCTGTACTACCCAAACCCCCAATCCAGGCTTGGTTCTTTTCAGTCTTCTGAGAAACCGCCTGGTAGGGAATAAGTCTCCCAAAAGGAATGACAAAGTAGGTGACCTGGCTCTAGGCCTCAGTCAAGGGCCTCTCCTTTTTTTCCTTTTCTTTATATATGTGCTTATTGGTGATCTCATCTAATTTCTTACACCTTAACTACAACCTCTGCTCCGAGCACTCAGACCCAGTCTTCTGTGTCTCATCTCTCCTTAAGGATTACATTCTCAAACTTCAGTTCCTTGAACTGATAGAGCTGTTCTCTTTTTCTCTAAACAATCCTTTCTGCTGTATTCCCCTTGGGAATAACCACCATCCTTCCGGACAACAAGATTTGAAGTTTTATTTTCACATGTTCTTCATAGTCAATCAGATGTTTGTTGTTCTGTTGTAGTAATTCCAAGATTTGCTTTTCCCTCTTAATTTCTGCGGTTAGATACCAGGATTTGGCATTGACCACAGGACCAGCTACATAATTTTCAAGGTTCAGTACAAAATAAAAATGCAGGACCCCTTGTTCAAAAATTGTGAAGAATGTCAAGGTGATGACAGGAGAGCAAGTGTAGAAGCCTTCTGAGTTCAGGGCCTTGCACATCTGCCCATGAAGCCAGCCCTAATGACCAAATTGTATACCTTCTAGATGATCCACCTCCATCCTTTCTTCCTAAATAGTATAAAATATTTGAAAAGAGCCTCCCTTACTGGCAGTTTCATGTAATCAGCAAAACCTGTCATTATTGTAGCAGACACTATTGATTGCTGTCTTCTAGGTCTTTTCCTGCAAGCAATGGCTGGTTTGTCTATAAATACTTTGAGTGTGGATGGGCAGGAGCTGAAGCCAGGAAGCTAGTTAGGACATAAGAAACCAGGTAAGACATTATTGTGGTTTGGCCCAGGAGGGAGCAGTGGAGGTGTGAAAAGTGGTCACATCTTGGATATAACTTGATAGAGCCAACAGGATTTACCGATGGATTGAATATGGTGTATGAGGGGAAAAAGAGGAATCAAGGACATTAAAGCACACTAAGGCACATTAATCAGGCACATTAAGGTTTTGGCTTAAGCAATTAGAAAGATAGGGTTCTTACTGAAATGAGGATTCCAGAAGGAACTGATTGCAGGGAAAATTTAGGACATTAAGACATGTTTGAGGAGATTATTCTGAATCTGTAGTTCAGTGGTGGGATAAGGGCTAGAAATAAATTTGGAAGTCATCAGCCTAGAAATCATTTTTAAAGCCATGGGCCTAGAGGTGATCCTCTAAAAAGTGAGTATGTAAAGACAAGCAGAACAAGGTCTAAGTAAGTCATAGGAGGTCTTAGGAGGTCGACGAAGGAGAGAGAGTGGCCAGAGCAGCGGGAGAGGACCGTGTTCCAGAGTGTCTAAGGCATAGCCATCGAGTCAGCTGACATGGAGGAAGAGGAGGCCTGATCACGGCATGTTGATCACTGGATTTAGTAACATGGAGATTATTGGTCAACTTCACAAGAGAAGTTTCAATGGAGTACTGGGGAGAAAACACAATTGTAGTCAAAGGAGGAAAAAAGAAGAGGAATTGGGAAAAGCAATTATAGTCAATGTTATCAAAACAAAATTATGAAGATATAAAATATGCTTTAATTGTGCTGATCCTTGTCTGAGTGATATGAGTGCCTTAGAATGGGATCTTCTGGTAGCTGACTCTAGGCTTTGTCTTCTATACAGAACTTCTATACAGTTATAAGCACAATCGGTCAGATATCCCTTCTAGAAGCCCCTAATGGTCTCTTCACTGCACATGGACATTGCGAAATATGATTATATTAATGAGGTAGAATGCAAAATTTATCAACTCTAACATATTAACTCAGAATGCTTGGAAACTAGAGTATTATGCAATCCTTTGTATTATTTGAAATGACACAAAATCAACAAAATACAAATTATAAGGGCAGTTTCTAGTTTGTCTTTTCCATTGTCTCATTAAATGGTCTCAGCAGTGTTGTTGTGATGAAAATAAATGCCACGTGGTGAAACAATTCCAGCCATGATAATCTTTGTCCAGTGCTAACGCTAGAAGGTTAGTTTCTAAAAGGGGCTCAAATTAAGGGGAAATAAGTGCTAGGTTCCAGTCTCTGCTTAAAAAAAAAATCAATGGCATGAATAGCTTTCAAGCTGAGCGTGGGAGGTGGGGGGGTGAAGTGAAGGACAAGGAATGGCTGCAACAGATCCTTGACTATGGGTTGATTTCGTGGTATGTTGAAGATAATGGCTCTCTGCTCTCATCAGGTACATTTGATTAGCGTCTTATGCCATTTGGGCTTCTATAACAAAACACCTCAGAAATAAACAACAGAAGTTTATTTCTCACAGTGCTGTAAGCAGGAAGTTCAAGATCAGGGCGACTGCATGGTTAGGTTCTGGGGAGGGCCCTCTTCCAGTTGCAGACTACTGACTTTTTGCTTTATCCTCACATGGTGGGAAAAGTGTGGGATCTTTGGAGGGTCTTATAAAGACACTAATCCCATTCATAAGGGATTCATGATATAAGCACTTTCCAAAGACCCCACTTCCTCAGATCACACTGGTCATTAGGATTTCAACATGAATTTGGGAGGTACACAAACATTCAGACCATAGCAATCAGAGGCTTTCAAGTGATATGTGTGGGTAGAATGGAAGACACTTTCTATACAGAGAGGAAGCACTGGAGAAGATGGAAAGAAACCTAATTAGGTGAGATTGCAGGGTTTTCGACCATCAGGATTAATTCAGGTTTGTGGTTTCCCTAGATAGAGTTTCTGGCTACTTCCCAACCTATGGTTGGTTTTCAGCTTCATACTTCCTACTATATGTGATACACCTTCCTGGGCTCTCAAAGGCAGCTTCAAAATATCCTTAACTAAACCTACTTCTATTCATCTTATCCCTTTATTTCTGCAATGGCAACACCAATTATATCATTATCCAAGAGAAAACCTGTGAATTACCCTAGATTCATATCTCTCTCCCTAGTGCCATCATCTCTTCTGTTCCCAGTCCTGTTTTATACCTTAACATATATAGAATCAATGTCTTCTCTTTAAAGTTCCCCTGTGTTAGTTTCTGCCTTTATCATCTTTCATATGGATTACTCCAATGGTCTCTTGACTATCTTCCCTACTCCAATTCACCCTCCTCCAATCCATCTTCCTCTTTGCCTCCAGTGTGAACTTTCCAAAGTCCTTCAGTGGTGCCAGCTTTTTGGCATGAGGCCCTCCCCGATCTGGCTTTTTGTCCCTCCCCAGCTCCAGTCTCACCGATCTGCTTTTCATCCCCTTGTGTGGTTGGCTCCTCAAGCCACTGGGCCTTTGCATTGGCATCTGCCTGGAAAGTTCTTCCACAATTCAGATTAAGCTCTGAGGAAGCCTTCTTTGACACTTCAAGCTGATTTATGAGTCTCCCTTGAATTTTCCTCACAAGTATACTTGGCAAAGTGCAGTGGCACAATTTATGTTTTTGTCTCCTTCGTAAGATGGTGAGCTCTTAAGAAGCTTAAAGCTTCTTAAGAGCTCACCATCTTACATCTTAAAGCCAGGTTTAAGAAGAAAACGATGGCAGAGCTCCACATCTGGTGAGCTCTGTTCGTTGACCACCTTCGGGAAAGATCATGCTAACTCAGAAGCAGCGATGGCAGAGGGTCAAGCAGTAGTGTCCAGTGCCCAGACAAGCTGAACATGGAGCCTGGGACCCGAGCTAGTGGCAGTGGGAGTCTCTGATGAGGAGTCCGGCAGTGGTCTTTGAGCATTATTCCCAGATGCATTGCTTCCAGCTCTCTGGCTTTCCTGAAGAGTTTGTGAACTACATAGTACCTTTGAATAAATCTATTTTTTTGTTAAACCAACGAGATTGGCTTCTGTTGTCTGCAACTAGGAGCCCTCAGACTGACCTCTAAACTGGGAGAACCCTGGAGCCAGCTTCCTGGTCTCTGCCCCATGGAGTCACTACAGAGAAGCTGGCTGTTCACTTCAGTCCCCTACACTGATCCACTCTGTCGCCAAACCGCCAGGGCCAGGTCACTATGTTAACTGGGTTGGTCCTTCAAGAGACCACAATGCCACTCCTTCCTACATCAGCTGAGAGCGTCCCCGGATGCTGGGTTTCCCAGCTTGCGCCCCTAGTACTTTCCTCTTTTTGCCTCATATACGTATCTCTTCTAAAGGGCCACATGTTCCAGATTTGCTGGGTCAAGCCAGGTGATGGTTTTAAAACATGCCACAGATTCTTTGATACCCCTCCCATTAAGAGATGAATTACATCTCTTCCCCTTGAAGCTGGTCAGGTCTTTGTGATGGAAGGCTAAATGACTTCCAAGGCTACATTTAGAAAGATATCTGAGAAACCCCAGTTGTTTGAGTCCTCCCAGCCCGGGCACCAGACACATGAGTGAAGAGGCCTTCAGGATGACCCTTGCCTCACTCCTGACTGACAGCAACCGTGTGAGAGGGTGGAAGGACTGCCCAGCTGAGTCCAGTCAATCCCCAGATGCATGAGCAAAATAATAAACTTATTATTGAAATGACTATTTCGGAGTTCTTTTTTATACAGCCATAGATAACCAGATACTCTCCTGCACTCACGGACAAAAGGAATTAAACATCTGGGCAGCATGGACGGGGAGGATTTAATGTTTAATAGGCACAGAGTTTCATTTTGGGAAGATGAAAAATTTCTGGAGATGGAGAAGGATGCACGACAATGAATATACTTAAGGCCACTGAACTATATACTTCGATATGGTTAAAATGGTAACATTTTTTATGGATATCTTACAAAATATTTTAAGGAAAAAATTGGGGCAATAACTGATTTTGGAATGTATGTAGAAATGGGCATTTCTATTATAAAACAATTAGGCTTTATCCAGGGCTGAACCCCAGGAATGAAGGTTATATTTATGTGAAAAATACACCTCTGGCTTCAGGATGGTGAGAGCTGAGCTTTGAAAAAAATAATAAAAGCAACTAATGTTTATTTGCTGAGCACCTTTAATGAACCAAGTGCTAGGGATGCAGACAAAAGGAGCACATTGCCTCTTACATGCCTTACAGTGTAATGGAAGAGGTAGACAAACAGAAAAAAAACAATATCTTGAGTGGGACTAAAGCAGGGTCACGTGGCAGAGACTGGGTGCCCGCTGTACATTGGGTCCACAGGGTCGCCCTGAGTGGATGTCGGTGCTGTTTATTAAGGAGGGAGGAACAGGTTTAAGAAGGGGCAGAGTTTTGGGGTGGCTGCACTTCTTTTGAAATGTTATGAGATGTCCACGTGGAAATGTTAAGTGCTCAATGAGATATACTAGTCCGGAGTTTTAGTGAGGGTTACGGCTGGAGATGTGGAACTGTGAGTCATTTGACTGTGGGTGAGATTTATAGCTGAGTCTAGATTACATCACCAGGAAAATGCAAAGTGAGAGAAGGGACCAGTGGGAAGAAGCTGGGAAGGAGGCTGGACCAGCAGTCAGGGAGGCAGCAGGCTAGGCGGAATAGTGTGGTGTCCCAGGGATCGACTGTGTCTGCTGCCGCTGTGGGCAGGACAAGATGTGAGGTATGATGTGAGGTATGATGGCAAGGAGGTCAGTGGTTGTGTGATGTCTGTGGACAAGTTTAAAGAAAGGGCCGAGGAGAACTTGTGAAATAAGGAACTAAAGACATTTTTTTTCAAAGAATTTTTAATACTTAAAGAAGCAGAGAAATGGGGCAAGAGCTGTGAGGTCCGTTATTTCCCTGTGAAAGGTACTATGCCAAATATGTCAGTATGTAGTTTCACTTTTTTAAAATTCCGTTTTCCACTTTAAAGGTGGAAAATGAGACACAAAGAAAATAATGAATTGCCCACGGTCTAGCAATTAGTGGGCGGTGGGGTTGGAGTTTGAACATCAGTTTATGTGATTCCAATGTCACTCAGCTAGCTAAGTGACTTTGATCAAATTATGTAACTGAATCTCAGTGTACTTGTCTATTAAGATTCCCACTTTTGCAGCTAAACCTTTAGTATAGTCAGTACATCAGTCCTGTATGAAAGAGATAATTTAATCACATTTCTAATAAAACGTGTACTTGACTAAAATATTTATTTGAGAATTATACAGAAAAATTCCAGTATAGCATAAACTTTGTAGAGACCTTTAAGAATATCCAATAAAATTTGCTTAATTTTTTTTCCTAGAGAAGTACTACTAATTAGGCAGTATCATTTAAATTAAAGTGGAATTCCTGGGAGAAAAAGAGTAGAAAGAAGAGAGAGATCACAATTTTATACATTGTGCTGAGAAATAAGAGACCTTCCCACATGGTGGCTAATCCAGTCAAAATAATTGGCCACTTTGGTGTAAATGCCTGGGAACTCTGGGTCTCCACAGTTTTCACCCCAACTCACAACACCCCACACATAAGTCACGTTATTGGCATCCTTACAGACCAAGGGGCCGCCAGAGTCTCCTTGACAGGCATCGATGGAACCGTCATCTGTACCTGAGAAAGACAAAGGAAAAAGAAAACCACACTTTCACTTACGTTTGTCAAGGCGCCGTGCCGCCTTCCTGCCTCTTCCACCAACGCGTGTAAAGACTTCAGCTTTCTCACACTTGCCCAACAGGAAGCAGCACCTGCTCTCCCTTGCTGCGGGGCCCACCGAGGTGCACTGACGCAGGTGGGAAAATACTTTGTCTTCTACACATTCTCCAAATTTATCAAGTGCTCTCCCTGCTTTCTCTACTTTATGCAACTATATACCGTGATGAGATTGCACTCCAAAAGTAGCATCAAATGCTGAGTGGGAAAATAATAGGAATACTTAGTGCTTCTTGAGTACTTAATCTGTATTATTCATTGCTTTAACCCTCACCTCGATCCTATGAGGTATCATTATTACCCGTATTTTAAGATGAGACAAATAAGGCATAGAGAGGTTATAAATATTAACCTCACGTCCAAGGCCACACAGCTAATGAGTGGCAGGGCCTGGACTTAGGCAGCCAGACCTCAGAGCCTGTCCTTTTAACTGTGATATTGCCTGGTAGATTTTGTGCTGTTCTCCCTTTTTGTCCTTTATAATCCTGAACTCCATTTTAAGGTGGGAGGGTTTGGAAATGGTCTGTTTACTTTCTTCTCTTACGAGTGTCTAAGATTTTTAAAACACTGTATCCAAGAAGTTATAGGGTGTCAATAACTGCCTTTTCCCATAATTCACTACTTATAAGTGGTTTCAGTAAAGCATCCCAAATGCACCACCCTAGCTGGTACCCTGGCTTTGGGTCACCACCATAAGTAGGAACTGCTGGCTGCGTTGGGTAGGGGCACTAGCATCACTGTGCTTTTAAAAAGAAGATGGGGACAGGTGTCGTAAGAAGTGCAATGGGATTTCCGAGGAGGGAGAACTTAATTCCAACTGAATGCATTTGAAATGAAATCATTTGGATTTTTATTTAGAAGAAGTTCGGGTTTTGATCCTGGATATACCACTTCTTGTCTGTTAAGACTTTGATCAAATTATGCAATTGAATCTCAGTGTACTTGTCTATTAAGATTCCCACTTTTGCAGATAAAAAAACTTGCTCAAGGTCACATGAGTCCAATTGGTAAAAACAGGGATATACACCCCAGGTAGTCTGGTTCCAGAGTCAGCGTTCTTAGTTGTCTTGCTATACTGATACTATATACTGCTAGATTTTCCCCCTTTGTATGAGAAAGAGGAAACGAGCTAAATGAAAAGGTTCAGGGCCCAGAGCAAGGGGGCTGATTCTGTGGGGAGGAGGAGACATGTTTGTTAAGGGGTACATTATCAGAGAAACCACTTAGTACTTACCTGCACATTCCATCTCTTTTTCAAAATAGCGACCTGGGTAAAACTTAGAGCAGTTGGCTTTTAGGTGAACTTTACCCCACTTAAGTGCATAGACTTTTTGGTTAGCTAAACAAAGTGAGAAAACAGACATTTAGAGGTCACAAATGAGAAATCTAAGTAAATAACTTCTTATAGTTTAGTAAACCATTAGAGATGTATAAGAATATATATATTCTTTCATACATATATAAACTTTTGAGGATAATTCATTAGCATATTTAATCATACACTGCTCATATCCCTAGTTTCTATATTCATCTTTCTAAAAATAGTCAAGGGGCATCCTGAAGTCATACTTCTTTAATAAAGAGCTGGGTACTCTGAGATGAATGAGATAAACTCCTTCTCCTCTGATTGCTGAGTCCAGTGGGGGAGTTGGGTATAGATCAGGGATTAGGGTCTTCTCCCATAAATAGCTCCTATTTTCTTCCTTACAGTCCCTTATTTCCTTGAAAGTGATTGTTAGAGTAAAAACAACTTTATAATGTAAGAAATTAAAGAAAATACAAAGTTATCAATGTGTATGTGTTTTTGTGTGTCTGTGAGGAACTCCATCTCCTAAGATTTGAAAGTATTGAAAGGGTATTTAGGATTTTCTTTCCATTTAAGTTAGAGATTTGGGACTTGAACATTTTTGGTCCAAGGAAAGAGAAATTGGCCAAGCACTGTTGCTGATTGGCAGTCCAAGGAAGATGAGGAAAACCTAAGAATACAGAGTGAGAGCTCTCAGGTACAAGGAGTGAGCCTTTGCCCATCTCGACTCCTCCTTTTTCCCAGCTTGTAGCAGCTGTTATGCTCTAGAAGGGCAGGGGTCAGGCCCGATTCATTCACTGCTACACCAGCACCCAGCCTCAGGTTAGCACGTGATAGTTGCTTAATAAATACTTATGTAATTAATCCATGAACTCAGTAATTTAGTTACACACTAAACATCATATGCCAAATGACAACCTCAATTAATCTCTAATCCACCTGAGGACAGTTGTCTGGCCTGTCCTGAGAGGACAACCCCACAGGCCCTACCTAACACTGTGATGATTACATAGCAGCTAACCGTGAAACCAATATTCTTCTCTCCTGGGAAGCAGAAGGAGACAAAAATCCACCAAAGTATATGGCAAATCTGGAAAAAGTTTTTTCTACTTCAAGTCCTACTTTAAATTAGTCTCAAGATGTCTACCTTCCTCAGAATAAGAGCTTTTTAAAAATTAGTAATCTATTATTTCCCATAACTCAGGAGAAGACTTTAGAAACTGGGATCTCCTGTACCGTGTGAGAAATGTTTAACGATGGGAGATTGCTTCCTCCCCTGAACTCTTGTTTTGTATACTTCTTGAGGCACTTGTCACATTCTGCTGTCAGATGGTGACTTTCATGACTGATGGCTCCTACAAGGGATGAGAGGAGCCCCTCCAGAGCTGTAAGTGCTTGAGAGCTGGCCTTTGTTTTTCAACCTTGTAGCCTCTGCACCCCCTGATTTTTGAATGGGGTCCATATTTTTCATTAGTGAAATTCTAGCATTTTAGCATCTTACACTCATAGTAAGGGCTCAACACATGTGTTAAACCATATTTGATTAATAAATAAACCAATGCATATCTACCATTTATATACAATACAGGGATTAGAATAATATGTTCAATGCCACATCAAGGATATAATCAGCCAAATTCAAGGTGTAGAAACTCTAAAATAAGAATGACTCAGTTTATATAATATATTTAAATAAAAGAAAGGGATAACTGTTCTAGATTAAAAGAGATTTAAGAAAAATAGCCACCAAGGACAATATATGTATGTTGTTTAGATCTCAGTGGGAATAATCTGATTGTAAAAATATTTTTTAAATAATTGAGGAATATTAAACATGAGCTGGTTATTCGATGATATTACCAAATCACTTTATTTTTGTTGGGTATGAAAGGTGGTGTGTTTTCGTTTTGTTTTTTTAAGTCCTTACCTGGTAAAGATATTTACTGGAGTATTCATGGGTGAAAGTAGATGATATCTGGGATTTGATTTAATATATTCCAGGGGGAAAAATAAGTGTGTGGGGGGAATATATTGAATAGCTCCTGATTGTTCTTCAGATCCCTTCTCCACCCTTCAATGCCCTGCCTTGACCTGAAGGGACTGCCTCAATAGGAATCCCTTAGACTCTGGTTTCAGCAGAAGACCCCAGCAGAAGGGAGGAAGGGGATGAGAGAGGATAGTGAGATTGGGGCTGGCTGTAATCTTCAACTCAAGGCTATTGCTTCTCTCAAGGCAGCCTGTTCTACCTAAGGTTCTTTCTCTTTCTGGTAACTTGTCTTTTCCTTTATATCTTCAGATCTAAGAGAGTCTCAGTTCTCGTATTATTAGTCCTGGGTTTCTGCATAGTCTTTGTGGTTCCCTAACCCCACCTACCCAAACCTTTGTAATTAATTCCTTCATAAATAAACCTTCCTAATTTCCTATTGAGATAATGATTGATTCAGGGAGGTAAAACGAGAATACAGAATGTTAATAACTGTGAGAACTGGGTGATGAATAAGTAGGTTTATACTTTTATCTCTACTTTTGTATATACTTGTAAAAAAAGTACATAAGTTTAAAAAAAAACAAATATAAGGACATGATACCTTCTGGATGAATTAATTACTAATAAAATTTAGTATTTTATAAGTGTTTGGTATTCAAACATATCACAAATCCAGGTTAATTTATACATATATTTTATACTTTCCAGTGTGGTGACTATAAAGAATGTGTTGGAATATGAGTCTGTAAGACCAATGCAATGAAGTTATTTACAAAGAGAAGTCTAATAGGTCAAAAGGAAGCTAAATTGCAAGGCTAACTCTTCAAGATGAAGGAAAAGCATTGGCTAATTTAATTCTAATCTAAACTCTAATGTACCAGGTCTTTCTAATTTGTCCTTAAATGTCCACATCTCTTATTCATATGAATGTTCACCTCAAATCTTCTTAGAAGATCAAATAATGAATTCTTTATGTTGTCTTTCTCTTTGTGGGATGTGGGGTATGGGGCATAGAGAATGGGGTTGGGGAGAGCAGAGAGCAGAAGGGTTGTGGGATCACTGACTCAGCAATTACTGTGACTATCCCTTCGAAAACCTATTTTATCTTCCATCCATATCCAAAAATATCCCAAAGTCCATGCTATATGTCCCCTGTCACTCTTTTTTCTTGGTGAATGGTTACCCCTCAATGTATGGTTCAGGATCACAGAGCACAGGTGTCCTTTGAAACTCTGGATCACGATGGCTACGTAATTTGTGGAGCCCAGTGAAAAATGAAAATGTGAGATGGGTCCCCTACAAAAGTTGTAGAGAATTTCATGATGCTGACTGCAGAGTAGAAAACCAAGCACAGGCTCCTCGGAGCCCCAAGTGTTAGGCAGCTGCACAGGTCCCAAGGGGAAGCCTGCCTACCTGGATGTTCATTTTTCTGGGTGTGATGCTGTGTTTTCTCTGAGTGCTAAGAAATTAGGTTCTAGGCATTTCTATTCCCATCCATTTCCAACTCCTGGATTCTGATGAACAAATTGAAAACATATACCTTTTTCTCGACCCCAGCCAGAAACGATGCATGTATCATTAGGATGGAATAAATATGGAGACCATGGGACACAGGCAGGGACGGAATTAGGCAGCATACATTCTCTTCGGTTTGAGGGCTTTTTCATTTCAATCAAAGCTATGTCATTTTGTTGGGTGCCTCTGTTGTAGTTTTCGTGGACAATAACCTTATTGACCCTCTGAATGACTATCTCAGAGTTAAGTTTTATCCAGTCTATTAATGATGTCCATATTTGGTAACGGTGAGCTTTACTGGCTCTACAACAGAAAAAGGAAAAGGGAAATACATTGAGGGAAGAGAACTATAAACATGTACTTCTGACATTTCATCTTTATATTCTCTCTTCTAAAGGACATTTTTCGTTTTCCCAGATTTTTTTTTATCCTTGCTGTCATGAGCAGTGTGATTAAGTTTACTTAAGGCAGAGTTAAAGTCAATGGGTAAATGAAGGGAAGAATAATCCATCTAATTGCTCACTATCAGGGACATAAAGAATTCACTAACAACCAGAGATGCCCAGAATTGGAATAAGCTGGCTATCTCTGGAGCGAGGTCACCTTCACTGAAGGTGTTTAAGCAGAGACCAGACAGTATCTAGCCAGAAACGTGGTTAAGGAATTGGGGCATCAGAGCACATACTCTCACTACTCTGCTAACCCCAGCAATTCTCAGAGCCAAGGCTCAGGGTCATTATCCCGACATTTAATACTGACTTCATCCTAACGTTGTATTTATTTGCTCACAAGCTTTCTTTCTGTTAGACTGTGCAACTTGAAAGATGGGGTCTATTACTCTATGGATAGATGCCTGTGCCTCGTACTATACCTGGAACATAGTAGCTATTTTAAAATCTGGTTGAAACCGTGAATGAGCTAAATACTGCCTGTCTTATGCCTCACTCCATTTTGTACTAATTCTCACCTCATGATTTCCAGTTAAATAGTGATGTTCTAGGACCTAATGAGATGTTCATGATGCTTTTATTTAATATTTAGTGTTCCAAAAATCCTGTGCTTCATCCTAATTTTGGTTGTTTTTCATAATCAGAGATCTCGGATATTGTTTAAAAGTTAACCCTGTTTATGCATTCAATTTACTAAACAAATACTTAGTGTGCACCTACTGTATGCCAGGTACTGTTGTAACCAGTGGGATACAGAAATGAGCAAAATCAGAAATAGTTCCTGCCTTCATGGAGCTCAGGGTCTAGAAAAGATGTAGCCTTAAGTAGATAATCACATGAATGCAGATATGTATTCTACTGTGAAAAGTGAGAGGAATGGGCTTTAACTTAGAGGAGTCGGGGAAGGTTCTCTGAAGAAATGAAGACTGAGCTGAGATCTGAATAACGAGTAGCACTTACTAGGAAAACAGGGTAGGAAGGATAATTTCAAGCAAGGGAAATAATATCTGAAGGTCTCTTTGCAGCAGGGTGAAAGGTACACTTGAGTCGCTGAAAGAGGTTCCGAGTGAGTGGAGCAGAGAGCAAGCGGGGAAGCTTTGGGGCAAGATGAGATCAACCAAGGTAAGCAGGGCTCAGGTCAAATGGGCCATGTTACATTTTTGTTTAGTTTTTTATCCTAAGAGGAATGCAGAGCCTTTGAATTTTAAGCAATAAGTAATCAAAACCAGGTGTGGAAATGTTACTCTTGCTACACAGTGGAAAATGGATAGGTGGGGCAGAGACGGGCAGAGGGAATGTAGGTAAGCCAGTTAGGAGGCAGTTGGTATAATCCGAATGAGAGGTAAAAGCAGGGTAACTGTAGAGATGGAAACTTTTGAGAATTAAATAATTAGAAATTAAAAATGCCACCTACACTTGATGAAATGTAGGCTGGGGTAGAGTTAAAGGAGTGGAATGGTGCTTAGATTTCTGCCTTGAGTAACTAGATGAATGGCAGACACTGGGACAGGAGCACATCTGGGGCAAACGCCGTATCGTGAGCTCAGACTTAGAGATTTTGAAATCGATGTACTTTCGATATATCCAAGAAGAATTGATATGCAGTTGGCCGTAGGGTCAGTGGTTAGAGGAGAGGTCTAGGCGGGAGATATCATTGTGTCAGCATATAGCATTTTAAAGGACAGATAACTTAAAGAAGAAGGAGTAAGAAGAGAAGGGAAACAGGCCAAATATTGAGGAAACCCAGTATTTCACTTAAGTAATAATGTTCAGTCACAGGATGGGACGCTGCAAAACAAACAAACAAAAAAATAGGCAGACGAGATATGGCCACAGAGGATAGTAGAAAACCAGGAGATGTATCTCACAGAAGCCAAGAGAAAAGGGTCATTCAGAAGGAAGAAATTAGATTTGGCTCAATTCTCCAGCCCATGAGAATTTTTATAGGTATCAACCAACATCTTTAACCATTCAGCATGTTTCCTGTCCCTCTCCACTCTGCGTCACCTGCAGATTTGTTAAGGAGGCCTTCATTTAAGTTGCTGTCAGATATGTTGAACTTGATTTAATCCTGGTTTTGCTACTGACTAGTAGTGTAGCTTTAGCTAAGTCATAACTCCTCAGTGCTATTTATCTTATAATGGGAAAGTAATAATATTTACTTCTTAGAACTGTTGAGAATATTAAAACAAAATAACATGTGAAAGTGCTGGGCACAGTGATTGGTCTGTAAGAGATGCTCGATAAATGACATTTCATTCATTCTAATGACTAGGACTGAGGCCAGAATCCCAAACTCTGTCCTCCTCCAAGCTGACCTTTATTTATTATCAACACATTTTAATTATTGCCCTGTAGCCACTGTAATAGACTGAATTGTGTCCTAAAATTCACATGTCGAAGTCCTAACCCCAAGTGTGACCGGATATGTGTGGAGATAGGGCCTTTAAAGAGGTTTAGCGAAGGCTAAATAAAGTCATAGGAGTGAAGCCCTAATCCAATATAACTGGTCTCCTTATAAGAAGAAAAAGAGATATCAGGGCACGCTGAGAAAAGGCCATGTGAGGACACAGCAAGAAGACAGCTGTCTGCAAGCCAAGGAGAAACTAGCCCTACTATTATTTTGATCTTGAACTTCCAGCCTCCAGACTGAGAAAACTTCTGTTGTTTAAGACCCCCACTTTATGGTATTTAGTTATTGGCAGCCCTCACAAATGAATATAGACACTTATAACTTGCCTTATTGGGCCTGCATCAAAATTATATTTCCCACCTGCAGGTAATTGTGGGACATCTTGCCACATGCTAATGCCGAATCCAGACACACTATGCCTACCCCACTTCTCTGACCCGAGAATCTCAAAACTCTGTCAAAGGAGACGATAAATGTAGGTAGTACCCACTTTCTTTCCCACAATGCAAATGAGCCAAGTGAAGTAACTTGGTGCCTATGGGTTTGATCTGCCCTTCTCAGCTGAGATCGACAATTTGGTCTGTGGAAACACAGTAGGTTCCAGGGATCCCAGTTGTGATTGGTCTTGGGGGTCCTATTATGAATAACAGTTAATAGAGTGGAACTTGTCAATGACTTTTCGCAGATATGTTTTCATTTATTATTTGCCACAATCTCTCTTACCCATTTTCATTGTTTCAGGAAATCCAAAATCTATTGGAGACATTATTTACCTGACGCAATGTGCAGCAGTCAGGATCCAACAGCCACCAATATAAACTCCTCCACAGTTGATTTTCCCATCATCTTTAATGGCCACCTGCCATGGGAAGTCTCCCTGTAAAGACATTTGTGTGGTCATTTCCATTCTACAAACAGGTGGCTCTAAGATATTTCCGTTGTGAGACTCCCAGTCTCTTACAGATAAGTTTCCCACCCCGCTTTCTCCCCACACTTGGGCTGCCCCTGGGAGATCGCGTTAGGGCTTTTTGTGCAGGTTTACCACTTGGGCTGGCATCCCTCCTACTACTCTTTTCCTTCGAACAGGCGTGCTGTTTTTAACTCCACAGGATAGTTTAGGGAAGAATGACTTTATTCGTTTTCTTTCTTCAAGAAAAGAAGAGATTGCATCATGATTTTGAACCCATTACCTTGTGGGAAGACACTTCTTGATTATCTATGCCACAAAAACAGCAGAGTCACAGCTAATATGAAAGAGGCCACATTCATTAGTAAATTATTTTGGATGCTAAACTGTACTATTCGTCTTGTTTTAAAGTTTTGGCTTAATATTAAAATTGGCTTGATTCTCTCAAAATCTTTTTAAAGGTGGACTAGTGACAGAAAAAGGCTGGCTGAGGGGTTAAACATTTACCAACCTCTGGCCAGTGAAAGATGCCACATGTCCAGGCATTACCACTGGGACAGCTCAGGGTAAGGGTCTCATGGAGAACCTTGTCTTCTCACTTTCACAGTTTTTACTTTTTAGAGGCTGTTCATATGAAATCTTTTCAATAATGTTAATATTAACATGTGTCAAACCCCATGCTAAGTACTTTGTACATAGTTATCTCATTTAATCTGATCATATTAACCCTGAGGGGTAATGTGCCTGCAGCCCCTAGACAATCCAGGGTCAGCTGGCCAGGAGGGGACATTTATTTTTAGCCACTTGACATGCGATGACATTCCCTTCCCCTGTGAGCGTTGAGATGTGGTGGATTTGTTGTTAGGAACAAAATCTCAGTAGAGCTGGGCTTAAGACATGAATTTGCAAGATAATTCAAGACAAAGGAAAAAAGTAAAAGATGTCCTCCGTATTCTTTCTCTATATTTTACCATTTCATGAAAATTTTTGCAGACTTGCTTCTTAGCCCCAAATGAGATAGGAAAATTAATATCACTGTCAGTTACCTTGAGCATATAAGGAGCTAAGTTCTTGAGGGAGAAAAGTCCTGAACAAATGCGGATAGATTTGGTGGGTGGGGTTCCTACCTCTCCTAAGGTTGGGGGAAGAGTATGATGGTAAGTTTTAAATTTCTGCTTGGACCTTTGAAAGAAGAAAGACCTCATTTATTGAGGGCTGTGAAACCAGCTAGGGTAGTATCTGAAAATTAATGTTATCTTGAGCAGAAAATAAAGGGCCTTTGTTGCAAATCCCCTCTGAGTATCTATAGCTTTGAAAAAGAAATCTTTTGTTTGTTGCCTGATTTTAAAAATGTTAATTAATTTTGGGGCCTGGCAATGAGAAGTCTTATGTGCACTTCAGTTTAAAATCCTCCTAAAATAAGGAGCTATTTTATTCCCAATTTGTATTTGAGCTTAAGTTACTCACCTAAGGGTACATAGCTAATAAATAACTGAGTCAGGATTTAACACAAGTCAATCTGACCTGAAAGCTCTTAATCAATTACTGTCTTCCTAAGAATTTAATACTTAATTTCGTTTTTAGTATACAACTGGCCAGGGTTGTACACTAAAGATCTGTTGTGCACAGATCTTCACAGACCCTCTTTTATCATGGTTTAAAACATTGCAAAGGAACAGGTTAACTCAGTTAAAATGTATTATTTTTCCGTTTCAAAATGTATTTCCTGGATCATGCTTGAAATCTGGTTGTTTTTGACAAAACTGACCTGATAAAGCTCATAATAAATAGAAAAATTTTACGTAGGACTAGAGTATTATTTTCACTTCAAAATTAGTCATATGCATCAATTCATTTTTAAAGCAATTCTTGGAAAGCATATTATCTTTTTCTTAAAAGTTTTTCTTACAACTTTTTTTTTCCTTAAAAGCGATAAAGGAGAAAAGTAATGTTCTTTTTCTATTTAAATTGATATTAAAGGTAACTGCTGCTTGAATTAATTATATTACATACACACATGCATGACATTAAAATGCAAACCTAAACCAGTGCAAAAGAGTGTTAACTTACCTGCATCCATATTAGCAGTCAACATTTCTGTTTCTTCTATAAAACAAAAGTTCCAGTATTTAAAGTTATGCTTATAGTAAAAATTAAATCATTAAAATCATTTAAACTTTGATAATTTTCTGTCTTAAGATTTGTCCTCCCTTTCAAAAGGATAGTACAAAATCCTCAAAGCACACCCTCTGATGTCCTTTTTTTTGGCTAGATAATTGTGAAGGCTCAGGATGAACTACGTAGAAATTTTGCAGGCACAAACTAGAGGTGTCTGTTGATACAAGTGAATGGTGGGGCTCATGGTGCTGCAATTTTCGGTGTTTGGAGCAGGCAAAATGCCTGGGTTAGAGAAGAAGAGCTTTTCTTTCAATTCTCCATATACAAGGTCCTTACATGGGTGGGGGGTAGCAGTCACTGACTGACCAAAAGAGTCTCGAGCCGACATTAAAAAGGCTCCTCTCCTTCTGTACATAATAAGGCACTTCTTTCAGGGGTCATGCAAAAAAGGTATTTCACTGGTTTCGGTATTGGGCATGGTTAGTATTAGACATCTGGAATACAGAAATCCGAATAGAAAAGATTCTCTCTTCCTTTCTTCCTTAGATTTCGCTTGAAGTTATATGGGATGATTCCATCTTTACTCTGCTGTCCTAGAACATTGATTGCAGTTATGCACAGGATCCTGATTTCTTTGACCTGGAGACCTAAAGGTGCATTCCCACCAACATGCGGCTCTATCTTGGGTGAAGTCATGGCCCAGAGGGTGATGTTACTTTGCTGAGGGAGTCCTGTGTCTTAGCCCCGGATTTCCCAAGTTCTTTTTGGGAGAGACATATAAGTATCTGTTTTGCCACACACGTAGGTTATCTTCCGAGGCAGAGAGAGGCTCTGCTCAGAGCTTTCACAAAAGCACCCTCATGAATCAAAGAGAAGACTCGAACATTCATATTAAATGCTCAGCAAAGGAAGATGTGGAAAGTTCAGTGTAGCTGAGGTGTGCTAGATATTAGAAGAACAGCACAGAGCTCTGAAGGAAAAACCCGTAAGAAAAACAGTGACTTTGTATAAAGATTAAAGACTTACATTCAACAAAGCCCACTATGAATAAAGTTAATAGATGAGTGACAGAATAGAAGATATATGCACTATCTAAAACTGAAAATGGATTATTATCTAGAATGCAAACTGAAAAGAAAGAAGACTGTAATCCCAACACGAAATGAGGCAAAAGACGTGAACTGGTGAAAGCAAAGAGGAAAGAAAGGGAAGAGGAAACTCAGAAAGCTAGTATGCATATAAGACAGACTCGGAATTTTTGGTTATTACAAAACTTTAAATTAATAAACAATGCCATATCACTTGACAGTATGATACCAGCAAAATTAGAACACTGGATAATACTAAAGTTCGTGCGATGAGGAGAACCCTTGGGCATGGTGGGTGGAAGTGAGGACTGTGCAGCTCTTCCAAAGAATACACGGGCACTAGTTAGTCAAACTAAGTAGATGTGTACCCCGAGACCCAGCAATCCCTTGCCTGGCTGGATTTCTCAAAGAAATCCTCCTGCACATCCCTAAGAAGAAGATATTCATCACAGTGTAACTGTGGGCTAAGAGTCCACTACTGAGAAGGCAGAGAGGAAATCATGAAAGTCGAAGACACCACAAAGTATTTTATTCAGCAGTTGGAAGCAACAGATTAAATGGGCTCATAGCAACAAGGACAGATCTTTAACATATAATGCTTTGTGAAATTTTTTTTAAAAAGGCACTATGAGCTCTACGTCAAAATCCTATGTGAATTAAAAATGTATGCTGACAAGATAATAGTACACATTTGGCTAAGAATACATACAAACATTAAATCACATTAAAATGGTTGCTGTGGGGAATGGGAGTAAGCTACAGGGATAACGGAGAATAAATACAAGAATGGGGCCTCGCTTGGACCAGTGATGGTCATGTGCAATGAGCTGAGGAGTATGACTGACTCATCTCTTTGCCCCTGGTTCGAAACTAGGAAGGAAGAGAAAGAGGGAGGAAAGGGGGAAGGAATAATGAAAGGGGGCAGTGGTGGGAACAGCAGCAGCCTTGGAGGGTGGGATGACAAGAGAATGGGAATGCAAAGAAATAATTGAGATTAGACACTTAGGGGTGATCTTGAGCATATAAAAGTCCCCCAGGAATCCTAAGAAGTCCTAAGGGGGACTGAGAACTTCTGGTAGTCATTTTATATGAATGATAAAGAAAGAGCGATCCTAAAGAGCTAGATTTGAGAACATTAGGCTTACAAAAGTAAATGAAAGAATACCTATCATGCAAAGAGGTATTTGTCCTCTGGTGGCAGTTTGGTCAGGACCTGCCTTGGTTTTGAGTGAAAAGTGAAAAAAGAGGTGAAGAGTATTTGGCAAAGGTGGAATGAGCAGGGATGCTCCACTTTGGGTGGTGTTGGTAGCAGGCTGTGGACGAGGAGAGTGAGAATGAGAACGAGTGTATCACACTGTGCAAAAATGCCTCTGTGCCTAAACCAGTGTGAAAGCTGGGTCATTGGTAACACGTGGTTATAGGCTCCTCAGTTAATAGTTACATTAAAATAGCAGAAGACAGCAGTATTTTTATTTTGTTTCAATTCTGTAATATCCCAAGAATTTAATAAAATGTTTACCTTGAGCCATATATAAAAGTCTTGAAAAAATTAAAAAATTTATACCACAGCAAAGGATAATTTTTATATGAGAAAAATGCACACTATATTGATATACTGTACATATATCATAAAAGTTATGACACCTTATTCTTGTTTTCAATTCTGTAATATTAATTTTCTATTATAAAAGTGCACTTACCTTTAATTTCAGGATATCCAACTTCTAAAAACAAAACAAAACAAAAACTTCACTGTAGTGTAGAGATGATTTTCACGCAAATAAAATATACACAAATCATTAATATTTCAGACATAGTATAACAAATTAATATTTACAAATTTGTTACATAGTATAACAAATTAATATTTCCTAAAAGATAAAGAGAACCATCATCTTCTTTCACCACAGCAACTTGAGTTTTAAAAAGAGATTTGAATTTTAGATATATTCGAATACATGCCCAACAGCAAACTTAATATGTAGTTATACAAAATTTATAACTCTTTAACTTATAGTAACAAAAGGTAGGCTTATGAAGGATAAATGAAAACAAGTAATATTTACTCCACACCTCCCTTGGTTCAGTGATTCTGATCTGTCCACTGGAAGGAGAGATCAATGTGCACGCGCACGCGCGCACACACACACACACACACACACCCCTACACACACACACACACACACACACACACACACCTCTGCATCTTAGAGGGAGAAAAATTAGACTCATTACAGAAATAGAAGGGTAAACTGAAGTAACAATGACAGTTGACTAAATGGATTTTTGATATAGATTCAAGAAACTGTTAAGAAAAGTAAGCTTTATGTTGTAGTTATTCCCTTGGAGTAGGATTTTTGTTTTTGATGTTCTTTGACTTTGACCTTTAGGAGGAGAAGGAGGAGAGGGAGGGAGTGAGGAAGAAAGAGGAGTAGTAGGAGGAGAAGAAACCCAAAATATTATTATACTGAAGAAGTGAAATCAAACTGTAGAGCTTCAGAGAAAGACAAATACTACATGATCTTACTTATATGTAGAATCTTAAAAAATCAAAACTCCTAGACGCAGAAATCCAGTGTGGTTACCAGCGGCAGGGGATGAGGGAGAGGAATTGGGTAAAGGTGCCCAGAAGGTATGATAGTTATATCTATTTACAAGCAGTTATAAATAAGGACTGGGGATGTACTCTGTGGCATGGTGACTATAGTTAACACTTCTGTATGATTTATTTAAAACTTGCTAAGAGAGTAAATCCTCAAAGTTCTCATCACAAAGAAAAAAAAATGTACCTATATGAGGTGATAGATGTTAATCGAACTTCTTGTAATCATTTCATAATATATGTGTTTCAGGTCATTATGCCGTACATCTTAAACTTATACAGTGCTGTATATCAATTATATCTCAATAAAATAGGGGTGGGAGGACACAGTTAAGCTTTGCTGGCAAAAGCCATGACTTATTTTCTTCCTCCATAAAATATTTTTTGAAATTTCTTTCTCCCTTCTCTTTACAGAAGATTTAACTACATTTAATAAACATAAAAGGCTTTTTGCTCAACTGCTTATATACCCTTCAAAAGAAATAATATGATTCGAAATCCTAAAAAGTGTGTTTTTTAATTTAAGTAGTGATATCAATGGAAGAGTAAACAAAATTTCAGTAAAGTCAAATACTTGTCATACCAAGTAATGACAAAATAGAATTAATGTATTTATAGATACATATCTTTATTTATTGCTTGTGTATGAGGTACTTTACCTAGGACATTTGGAATATAAAAATAGTGAGATAGATTCTGTTTTCAAGGTGTTTACTGTTGAGAAGGGAAGGTAAGACAAGGACAAAAACTGCAATCAACAGTTTACAGTAATTCGGGGGTTTCCTGGCATGGACTCTATCACTGCACGGGAGGCCGTTGAGTCACTTCCCAGCTTGTGTTCTGTGATATCATGTCAAGGGCTTGAAATCACCCATGGTGGGAGTATTTACACCACAGAAATTAGCAAAGGCTACAAATCAGGGCTTCCTTCTCCCTCTCAAAGCCACCTGTTAAACATTTACCAGCTCACCGCTGGCTAAGCCCCACCCGCCAGGTGCACATAAGGCTCTTCTAGCAGCTCTCCTCATCTTTGTTGAAAGTAGGTCCATCCTTTCAATTCTCAGGCCAAAACCCCTGGACTAATCTCTGACTGCTCATTTGTTCTCACACTCCCAGCCAATCTATCAGCAAATCTTTTCAGTTCTAGCTTCAAAATAGATCTAGAATCTGACTGCTTCTCGTCATTTCCATTCCTTCTCATTTATTGTAGTCACTATCATCTCTTCCCTAGGTTAGTGCAGTGGCTTCCTCACCGGTCTCCCTACCTCTCCTTTTACCCCTGTACAGACTGTTTCTCACCCAGCCGCCAAAGTAATCTTGATTTTAAATGTAAGTCAGGTCGTGCCGCTCCTCTGCTTAAAGTCCCAATTTCATTCACTAACAGGCCCTGATCCCCCCACTCTACCCACCCCTCCAGCCTCTCCTACTATTTGCTTTTAATCTCTCACTATCATCACCTGCAACACCCGCCATAATAGCCTTCTTGCTGCCTATTCCTCAAACCTACTGGAATGTTCCTGTCTCCGGAACATTGCACTGGTTGTTGCCTCTGCTTAGAACACTCTTCCCCAGATCTCTGCATGGCTGGCTCCATCATTTTCTTCAGCTCTTTATGTAAAAGTAACCTCAATGAATGAGTCTTCCCAGGCCACCTAATGTAAAATTTTAGAACTTACCCTTGACGTTTTATATCCTCCTCCCTTGCTTTAGTTTTCTTCGTATTACTGATTCTTTTACTAGATATTTTGTTTATTTCTCCTGTTTATTGTCTGTCTCCCCCTCTGGAATGTAAGATCTATGAAGAGGCAGGGATTTTTGAAATGGTATTCACTATTGTAACCCTAGCACCTAGAACAGGGCCTGGTACACATCACATAGTAAGAACTTAGTCAATATTCGTTAAGTAAATAAATTAATGTAACAACTTAGCTTTTTCTTCTAGAAACATCTATGGGAGCAAGAAATCAGTCTATGTGGCACAGAGTAGGTACCTAGTAAATAGTATTCACATTGGAGTTTTTTCAATGAGCACCAAAAAGCAAAGACCGTTAGCTCATT